GAAGCGGCCGGTGGCCGGGGATGGTCCCGGCCCGGCGGCTGCGGAAAGTCCGTGGGTAACGCAGGGAATTCTCTGCTAAGGTACCTGGGGGTCATGCCCGCGTACAGCGCTGCGGATGATGCTCTGACGACCAAGCTGGTGACTTTTTACGAGCACCTGAAGGATTCCCCTGCCCCTTCTCACCAAGCGACTGTCCTCTTGTTTGACCCTCGCAATGGTACTCTGAGAGCTGTAAGTCTCGTGAGTGCCCCTGTATCCATCCCCGGTAATGCTGTCGGTTCTCCCTTCTGATTCTTGGAAGATGGAGCTGCTGTAATTTGGCCTGAGTTTACCAAAATCATCAATGCAAATTCAAATCAGGATTTGGCCTAAAGTCTTCTAAATGTGTTAAACTGTAGTCAGTGTGCTACTTTACTGCTACTTGTGACTGAATCTGATATGTGAGAGGGTGCATGGTAGAGAGAAATAATCAGGAAAAGCTTACCTTGCATTTCAAAGGAAAAAAAACCAAGAACACTTTGCTAAATAAAGAATTGATCTTGAACCATCGCAATTCTAAGTTGATAGAGATTCACAATTTGCATTGCAGGGAATAGTGTTTAGAGTATGGGTTTTTTTTCCTGTAATTAAAGAATGTAGAAATTTTTTAAGAATAGTGATGACTTGCATTTAGACTTCAGTAAAAATAATTATTAAAGGGCTAAAACTGGTGAAGAAAACTATCTGATCTCTTATACCAAAGCTGTCCATTTTTTAAGCCCCCTAATCTGTCTGTAGGCAGTGGCCAGTGCACACAGAGGCAGGAGTGCCCCACGTGTGATACACATTAAAGGAATTCCACAGTTCCCTGTCACCCCATGGTACAGACCAAGACAGTGCAGACTGGTGAACCACTGCCAGCTTGCACTGATCTCCCTGGTCTTACAGGAGTGCAGAGAATTGGAGTTAGATCCATGTATTCCCAGTGCTGGAGAGCCAGGGAAATGCAGTGCCTGAGGAGGTGGGTGAATGTGGGGTGGTTCAACTCTGACCATTTGGGCTCCCTTTGTGCTGGTGGAATGACATGAAAGAACTGGAATGCCCAGAGGATCTGCCCAGTTTAAGTGTGACTTTGTGTTTGCTGTACTAGTAATTGCCAACCTTTATATCTGTGCGTCTTTTATATTTGTACTAGCCCTTCATTCACAAATTGAATGAAAACATTTTGTGTTTCCTCACCTTTTGAGCGTTCATTTCCTTCTGTTTGAATTTTTCTAAAGGTCCTGGATGGCAGTGTCATCACAGCCAAACGAACAGCTGCAGTTTCTGCCATTGCTACCAAGGTGTGCCTTCTGTTCTCTGAAGTGGGGCAGAGTTTGCTCTAAGATAAGTAGAAGGAATGATGGCTTTCAGTGCACGTGAACTTCCATGAAATACGGCTTTAAATTAGATTTATGATAACATATGTACTTTCAGGGAAAGCTTAAAATCATAGTTTTGTGTTTGGAGTGAGTCATGTGTGGTTTTAACACTTTGTGTGTAATTAGAGAAGGAAGCTGAGCTCTGTTTTTGTGGCTTCTATTGCACTCTCTTCTCTGAATTTCCAGAGGTGTCTCCCTGTGTAATTTTCTTTCTTTTGTGTTTGTATTCACATGCCCCTTTACAGTTTTGGGTGTAGTACCTGTGGTGATACATTCAGTTTTAGTGACACAGATAAACCTTCTGCTCTCAGGCCAGGACAGATGGGTGGGACTGGACCTGGAGAAAGAGTTAAAGCACATTTCCAGGGGTCAGTGTGGGTCCCCTTAAAATAGATGATGTCCAGTATAGATGGATGATTGCCTAGAGGTGTCTGTCTATCAGCGTCCCTGTTGTCACTGGAAGTTGTCTAACCATAAAGTATGTCTTTATGACCATGGTCATAAACTGAATGTCTAAAGGCAGGTGAGGTGTATCTGGCTCTGTGTTGCTTTGCATCACTTCCATTTCAGTTGGAAATGTTTTTTGTTTGAAATATTTTTTTGGAAAATATTTGTGGTTGGCCTACTTATCAAGTCAGCATCCATTGCACAGCAGGGTTTTAGCCTCCCCCTCAGAGGATGAAGCAATAAGAAGAGGGCCAGAGCTGAAAAATACTGTTGTTTGTCCCCCCTCAGCTTTGCATCCGAATGAAGGCTGATCTCACCACATCATTAGTGGCAGCCTTCATGCCAGGGGAACTCCATCCATGGCAGTGGAGCTGAACTGACCTAAAACTGGAGGGAAGAACCTGTGCCCAAGAGCTTCTGCTGAACCAGAGGCCAGAAGAGCTGACAATGAACTCCTTGGCCATGAGGTTACAGGCCCTCATTCTTCTTGGCCATTCTGTATTTGGGCAGTTGGGATGGTTTTTACACAGCCCAGGCTCTGCTGCCTCCAAGGAGCTTGGCTGCTGAAGGGACCTGAGGATCAGACCCCTCTTTGCCATCTGTTGTGTTGGGAAATTTTCAGGAGTGTTTGAGTTCAGCTCCTGCTTGTCATCTTGTCCTCCTTATGGCACTTGCTTTTCAAAGCCCCCTGCTTTTGTGCAGAGAACCTTTGAAATCAGTGCTTCACAGTCTTGGAAAGGAACAGCAAAACAAGCTCTTATTGCTGAAAAACGGGATCACTGAGATGATTTCAATTTGTTTGCAGCAGAATTAAGTGTTGAGAGCCTGGATAATTCTAAAGCTTTAGAGACAGGAGCGAGTGGCCTCAACAAATGCATAAACAAGCCCCAAGGGTAGCTCAGGGCTGGGCTCCAGCAGCCCTGCCTTGCCCTTTGCCAAGTGTTGGTGAATCACAGGCAAGAAGTAAACCAGGAACCCCAAAGCAACTGTAGAACTGAATTTTATTCTTTGTTCCTTAGAACCATCCCTATTTTGACAATATTAGATGTGTGGTGGCCCTTGCAGTGCCAGGATGTGTTTGTGGTACGATGTAAGGCTTCAGTGAACTCAAACAGGGGGTTTAGGGTGGGGCTCCCAGGAGCAGTTTACCTGTGCAGCTGCCACTGTCAGCACTGAGAGCCTTTGGAATTGTGAGGCCTGTTCTCAGCCAGTGCAAAACATCTTGTATGGTTTTACACTTAACCATGTGGGTATAATACATTTTACTAATATTGGACTCTGTTGCTGCCTTTTATACCGTTTTGGAATCTGTTTGTAATATCTGTGAATCTCTTGTTCTTACACGTTCTCTTTTTTTTCTTATATACCTTTAGTTGTTAATGCCACCTTCTGCAGAGGTGCTGTGCATTTTGGGAGCTGGTGTTCAAGCATACAGCCATTATGAAATCCTGACAGAACTGTTCACATTTAAAGAGGTAATGGACACATCTTCACAGATACATTTGTTGTTCTCTGTTATGTTTCAGGATGTATTATAAGTACAGACAATGAAGCTGTATGAGGTCTGGCTGATGTTCCCCTCAGGCCTCCCATTGTTGTGTTTTGCACTGGCAGCTCAAAGGGTGCTGACAACTGTCTCCTGAAAACTGTACCCAAGTGTTCTGCTTCAGCAAGAAGGCATTCTCCAAGCTCATGTCTGTTTCCATTTCCTTTTCCCCCTGCAGGTGAGGATATGGAATCGCACCAAGGAGAAAGCAGAGAAGTTTGCCAGCTCTGTCCATGGTGCCGTGCGGGTTTGCTCCTCTGCCCAGGAGGCCGTTGTGGGGGCTGATGTGATTGTAACAGTGACCATGGCCACAGAGCCCATCCTGTGTGGGGACTGGGTAAAGCCAGGTGCCCACATCAATGGTAGGCTGTGTTCTCTTTGTGGAAAGGACGTGTTTCTTATCACATTGCTTAGGATCAACATCTGCTGAAAGGCAGTTCTCTCTCCCTCTTGGAATGAATGTTCTTTTTGGTTTGACTTTTCCTCTTTAGTGGGGACCACGCTTTTCCCTAGTGGTGTATCCTCATTGCCCTCATGTTGTCCCTTATTCTTACCTTGCTCCCCATCTAAATGACCCACATAAACATGTTATTGCCTAAGTGGTTGCTGCTTTTTGGGCTGACCACATCGATTTACTTTTTTGCCTGAGTTACAAAGATGGAATAACTGAGTTAAGAACTTCATAATTTGGCTTGTAATTATGGTGAGATTTGGGGGATGCTTTTTGTTGTTGTTGTTGCCAGCCTTGTAATGATGTTGCCACGCTATTGTTTGGAGTCTCTGGACATGCCCCTCTTTGTTTATTTTGATTAATTGTGGGCCTGGTTTCGATGACCTTGTGGCCTCTCCAGATAGCACAGTAATAAGACAAAAGCAGCTTCTCCAGGGGAACAGTTTAAAGGAAGGTCCCACATTCCAGCAGCATCCTACCAATTTTTCAACCTCAATTTAGTCCTTTGTCATTGAAAGTTGTTGTCTGTGTTGTGTTGTGGCGTGGAAGCTGAAAACACAACCCCAATCGATTAAGGTCCAGAGTCACTGAAGCGACACAGACACAAAGACTTCTCTCCTTTCTTTGCCTTTTTTTTTACCCTTCCTTGAGGCATTTGTGCTGTTTGAGGAGGCATTTGTGCAATGTGGAATTTACTTTTCCATAACAGTTGGACACTTAAAAAAAAGAATTATGGTTACATTATATCTGTGTGGTTGTTTTGGTTTTGTTGTGTTTCTTGTTTGTTTTTTAAGCCTTTAAGAAGTGGATAAAGATCTTGACACTGTTCGTAAAAGCTTAAGCTCCTTGATTTGTTTTCAGTTTCTCCAGATCAGTGAAAACCCACAGTCTGTTCAACTTGTACTGCTTATAAGGTTACAAGGAAACAATACAAAGCCATAGGTTTAGAAATCCTCATTATTAACTCTGAATACTCTGTCTGCGTGTGCTAGGCTTTGTTGCACATCCTTTGGTCATCATCTCAGAATAACCGAGGGATTCTTCAAGTCTTCTCTGTAGACACATAAAACCAATCTGAATCAAGCAAAGGTGTAGGAAATTCAGGGCATTTGGTAATGACGTGATGAAGGATGAGGTAATGGAGAAAGGGCGAGGACTTTCTCATGCCTCTGCTGACAAGGATATTTTACTTACAAATCTAATATTGAATATTTTTTTGTTGTCCTATCAATCGACACATCTACATGGCTAACTCTGGATTTTTTGTATAATACATTTGCACATTTCCACAATAATGTTGTTATTTTACACATGTCTTTTGAACAAAATGGTGTTTGAATTTGTTTTAAACATTGCTCCCAAATTTATAAGTTTTGTTGTCTTAGCTGTTGGAGCATGCAGGCCAAACTGGAGAGAACTGGATGACAAACTGATGAAGAATTGCTTTCTGTTTGTGGATTCCAGGAAGGCTGCTTCTGAAGAATCAGGAGATGTTATATTATCAGGGGTAAGACTTCTGTAATTGATGGGCTTTATTTTTGTGGCAATTGGCTTGGATTTGACGTGAGTTGGAATTGCTGATGTCTTGCACTGAATCTTTTTAGAGCATCAAATGTAGTTGTTAACACTTGCCAGGGACAGGTTGAAGGATAAACTGTTTTCAAACTGATGCTTCTGTGTGTCTATGATCAAACAGGCAGCCTCTGTACCTACTGTTGCATGACACCATATTACAGTAGCAGGTGCTCAGCATTGACCTTTGAGTGGGATAACAATGTATTGTTTTTTCAAAGATCTACATTTCCTGCAGCGTTTGGTTGTGTTAAATATTCTTCAAATCTGTTTATGAAAACCTGTAACTTTCCTCCAGTAAGATTTCAGTGTGATTGACACATCAGGCCTCTGGAGAATGGACCACACAAGCTGAGCAGACAGTGATCTGCACCAGTTGGACAGCAGGGACTCTTTTAGGTTCAATGGCGTTTTCTTTTTCCCTTTTAATGTTTCTGCAGAGCAAATGTGATTTGCACTTTGGAGGTTTAACATCAGAGCTCCAGATATGGTAATGTGTGGGGGATCCCATGTGTTTTGTTGGATGAGTAACAAGCTCTCCACTGTAACAAAACCTTACTGAGTGTGGAAAGTGTGCCAGCTGTTTCTCTTTGGAAACCATTCTGCTGCTCTGATTTCTGTCCAGTTTCTATATTATTTGTCTGAATACTGATGTGCTTCACCATGGAAAAGAATCAGTTTTGGCATGCAGAGCTGGAGGATTTCTTTATTCTGAAGTCACTCAGGGAAAGAAGTGTTTTCCCCTTTCTGCATGTATGGATATTACGGTTTTGATTAAATGTGTATTTTTTCCACAGGCAGAGATTTTTGCTGAGCTGGGAGAGGTATTGAAGGGTACAAAACCAGCCCTGCCTGAGAAAACAACAGTGTTTAAGTCCCTGGGTAAGAGCAGCCCCTCGTGTGTGCAAGTGTGACAGGAAACAATGCCTTGTTATTTCCTGGGTCCCCCGTGCGTGGGAAAGCTGCTGATCATCTTCAGAGCTGCCGTGGCCACGC